GGGGGGAGGCCGCCCCGGCCGGGCCGGCGGGGAGCAGCGCGCACCTTGTACCGCCGCGGCGCAGGCGTCCGCAGGAACAGGACACGGACGGGGCTCGTTTCGTAGCATCCTAGAGTCCTAGCACTGGCAGGGACCTCGAGAGTCATCGAATCCACTCCCCTGCCCTCGTGGCAGGACCCAGCACGGCCTAGACCAGCCCTGGCAGGCGTCTGTCCAACCTGCTCTGAAATATCCCCAGGGATGGAGATTCCACAACCTCCCCAGGCAACTTATTCCAGTGTTTCACCCCCCTGACAGGCAGGAAGTTTTTCCTCATGTCCAACCTAAACCTCCCTTGCTGCAGTCTAAGCCCATTGCTGCTTGTATCCTCAGAGGCCGAGGAGACCAATTTTTCCCCCTCCTCCTTGTGACACCCTTTTAGGTACTTGACACCGCTCTCCCCTTCCTGGCCCCGCCACATGGGCAGTGACAACCCAGGGGGTCATCTTCCACATCCTGCCCTGGCGGCGGGTCCCAGGAGGGGCCACGGCCAGGGGAGAAGCGGGAACTACTGATGCTCTCGGATAATGTAGTCGACACCCCGGCGCGGGCAGGGCCGTAGACAAGATGGGGCTGGGGGTGGAGACCCCCCCGCTCCCTGCAGAAACGCCCCCGGGGCTGCTTGCCGGGGGCCGGGTTTGTATCGCAGGCTGCAGCCCGCCCTGCCTTGGGGCTGGGAAGTGTCGCGCACCCGGAATCGTTCACAGCAGCCGGGAGGGAGGCTGGTTCCCTTCGCCGGGGCAGGAGCGGCGTCCTCCCACGCGTCCTGGGGCGCCCGCTGGCAGGGGGGTGCTGGGCATCTGGTCAGCCTGGGGCGTGGGGCTCAGGCTCAGGCAGCTGTTAGTGGCGTCCCGGAGGGAGCGTGGGGACGGACGAGGAGTGGTGGCAAAGGAAGCCCTGGGGTGATGGCCATGCCACCGGGGTAGCAGGGGGCAGGGAGAAGGCGCCTCTCCAGCGGGCCGAGGCCAGGGAGGGATGGAAGCTCTGTTCTTTGGGCCCTGGGCAAAGGCCTCCCCCCGACAAGGGAGAGTGGCATCTGCGCCGCAGCCCTTAGCCACGGGCCAGGCGCCTGTTGACTCAGGCAGTAGCAGGTTCAACCCCCCCAGCCGCCAACCTTCAACAAGCAGGGTGGCTGCTCTTCTGCGTGGGCAGCCCCAGTGTGCGCCAGAGCATCCTCTGTCCTAGGCAGCGGTGACGCCGGCGGGGGCTTTTCCAGGGAGAGCGCTCGGGGCTTGCAGGAAAGAGCCCCCGTCAGGCAGGGCAGGGCAGGAGAAGCCACCCTCACGGCCCTGCCTTGAGGGGCTGAGCGTGGAGGAGGGAACGGCAGCACGGAGGCCGGCCACTGAACCGGAGAAGGGGCGGTTACTGGAAACCCCTTTAAGGCTGTGGCTACACTGCAGGGTTTTGGGGCCAAAGCCCCGCGGCGGGTCCCCACCTCACGCGGGGTTTTGCGCAAGACAACGTGCAGTGAACCGACGGGGGGGGGCTTTGCGGCGCAGGTCGGCCTCTTTCTAGGGGGAATGGCTCCGTTTTGCGCCAGAGCTCGTGAGGATGGGCAACAGGGGGGTTTGCGCAGCACGCGCCAGTGGAACAAAGCCCAGGTGCCCTGGTGGCTAGTCTGTGAACGGCCGTCAGAGCTCTCCTGCGGGTGCGCGTCCGTGCGGCGTGGACGCGCTCTTGCGCAAGACGCCTGCAGTGTGGACGTAGCCTGAGTCTCGGGTGGGTTTGCACCAAGCTGGGCTCTGGATCCGAACCCCTCCTTGCAGTGGGGTGAGTTTGGGAGCCGGCCCCCGCCTAGCCCTGCCGCAGCCCCCCGCCACCCAGCATGGCAGGGTAAGGGGCCCGCTGGCTCTCTCCCTGGGGCTCTGCCAGTCCCTCCGTGGCTCTGGCGTGGGCCTGAGTCCTGCCCCCCCTCTCGCCCCTCAGCCCCAGCTCAGCTTGGGGAGGGAGGGAGGGAAGGGAGAGGGCTCATGCAAATTTCATTTCTGAGCCACTGGCGCTGTTTCAAGAGCCGGCAGCCTCGGAGCCCTTCTCGGCGTTACATATGTAACAGCCTCATTGAACTTGACATGTCAAATTCAGGCCATTTGTGCAAAATCTCCCTTTAATAATACCGTTTCATTTCGCTCAAATGAGACTTGAATGCATGTAAAATGGGAAAGGATATTTAAGCGCTAACATTAGGCAGATGTCTTGCCAGAGGCCGATTGAATATATGAGATTTTGAAGTGCTTAACGTGGTTTCGGTGCTCCCTCTTAGAATATGTCACCTGGCTTCCTCCCCCCCGCACCCCCCCTCGCAACCCCTTTTCTTTTTTCCCTCTTTAAGCCAAGGCCGCAAATTGAAAGTAAACAAAACGACAAGCCCCAGCGATATGAGGTTAACCCCTTCCGGGCTGGAAAACTCAGGCTGTCCCTCTGCCGCGACGTTCAGACGCCGCCACGGCCCGCTGTGAATAACGGGTTGGATGCAGCGCTAGTCCCAGGAACTCTTTGGGGCCCTCTGCTCATTTGATGTACGTGCCGCCCCCAGCACAAGGAGCCCCGATCTCTGATTGGGCCCCCAGGCAGGATTGGGGCCAGGGAGGCGCCTGTCTGTCCCGCCCGTCGTTATGGGCGTGTGACCCCAGCCCCGAGCGAGGCAGCGAGGAAGCAG